TCGCAGAGCCCCGCCCCCAGCCGCTTGCCCTCGCCCCGCCTCTCTTCCGGCCCCGCCCCACCTGGCTGCCATGACAACGAGTCCGCGCCTCGCGCACAGCTGCTTCTCCGGCGGGACCCAGGCTGGACCGCGGGCCCCGGCCTGGGGGCCACAGCTGCCACCGCCGCCGCCACCTCGTCTCCTCCCCGTCCCCGCCCTGTCCCGTGTCTCCCCGCCTCGCTCGGGCCCGCGGCCGGGGTCCCTCCCCGCCGCCCCATCCCGCCCGGATGCCGAAGGTGAAGGCGCTGCAATGCGCCCTGGCGCTGGAGATCCGCTCTGTGAGTACTGGCCGCGCCCCGCCACCCTCGCCGTCTGGGATTCCGTGAGCCCTCGGACCCCTCAGGGACCCTTCTCTCTGTTCACTTCCGAACACCCCAGATCACCTCCGAGTCATCCCTAGGGAGCCGTGTCCCGCATGTCACCTCGGTCTTCCCCCTCTCAGAATCATAAACGCCCTTGCGCACCAACCACACAGAGGTCTCACCCCTTACATCAGCTTTCATTGCTTTATCCTATCTTCTAGTTTTGGTTCATTGTAACCAAAGGAGTTCCTCTCCTTACCCAGCTTTCCAGTGAATGTGACTCAGAAGTCCTCTTCTCTGCCCCATTCTCCCAGTGAGAGAGTATTGTCTCCACCCTGCCCACCCCACCCCTAGTCTTCAGTCGGAGGACATCACCTCCTAAATGACGGCAGGGGGATACTTTCAGACGCATTTCCAAGTTTCTAATTAGTGAGGGGCCTTACTGTCAGTTTTGATGTAAAATCTCCACACCGCAACAACTGAAATGTGTTATTATTACATAAAGTACCTTACAGGACCTGCAGGCATTGAGCTACAAGCAGTTAGAACCAGGGTTCCTCATTCAGCCTCCTTCACCGTTTCCTCCTCCCTGAGTCCTCTTATCTCTCAACCCAGTTTCCTGGAGAGATGGGGCGAGGGTACTTAGACATACACCACTCTGCTGGGTACTGCACAAAGCAGCCCTCCCGGTTTCTTTCCCTCACACTCTGCCGGTAAGGTTTTCTCTCCAAATACCAACCCATGCTTGCAGCAGCCTCTCTTTTCCTGGCTTTCCTTCCTCACATTAGAATGAGACTGCTTTAGCACAGAACTTAATCCTCCAGGGAAGCCCCAAGACTGTTTTAGGTCTTTTGTTAGGTCTTAAAGGAGGGAAGACTGGGTGGGGTAGAGTGTGAGGTGAGTGGAAGAGAAAAAAGTTTCTGGGACCTTCGGTTTATCTGTAAGCCTGTAGAGATTTTACTTACTGCTGTGTCGGGAACTCTATAGCCCTAACTTTAAATGTTTTCGTCCCACAGCTGTCTCTTTGGCAACTTTTTATAAAGTAAGAATACTGTAGTTTAGCAAAAGAACAAAGACTTCATCTGCTTCCTATACCGCTTGGCCTGGACTGGCCTAGACTTTGTCATTGGCTTCTCCCTCCTCTGCTAACCAATGAGGTTTAGGAGCCTGCTGAGTGCAGCTGTCCTGAGAGGCTGCCTGCTGCATGCCTTCTGTTGCCAATACAAACCTAAGAGGAAGTACAGTACTTCGTTGTTTCACTACTTTCTCTTCAGTATTAGTTGTCCTGCAGAAAGTGAATGGTTGTTTAACTGAGCTTTGTTATTAACCAAAAGCTAAAGAAGACTGTGCAGGTAGAAACATTCCCACTTATTTATTTGCGACAAACATTTGGGTCATAGAATTTTATAGTTAAAAGAAATTTTAGAAATCATTGGATTTAATCCCTTCTTTTTACAGATGAGAAAATTGAGGTTTGGCATGGTTATTTGTCAAGGGTTGCACAACTATTTAGGGGCCTATCTGTGCTAAGAAGACCCCAAGTTTTCTCATCAGGAAAGGAAAGGCCTTTTCAATGCTTATGGTGCTCAGAGGAGTGAAAAAGAAAATTAACAATCATACAAGTTATGCAAACTTAGTTTGACTTTGATTGAATAAAAGGAATTATGTGACCTTAAGTATTTTTAACATTTTTTAAAAATTTTAGTTTCTTCTTTTCAATTTGACTTAATCTTTTTACACTTACATAGTACAAAACTTAAAACTATATAAATCGATACATTCAGGGAAGTCTTGTCTTCAGTCCTGTGTGCTCAACCCTTTTTCCCACCTGGATCCATCTGTTATGTTGTTGTTAGATGCTGTTGAGTTGATTCCGGTTCATAGCGACCCTACCTACAACAGAATGAAACACTGCTGGGTCCTGCTCCAGCCTCACAATCATTGCTATGTTTTAGCTCATGTTACAGCCATTGTGTCAGTCCATCTCATTGAGGGTCTTCCTCTCTTTCGATGACCCTCTACTTTACCGAGCATGATGTCCTTCTCCAGGGACTGGTCCCTCCTGATGACATGTCCAAAGTACGTGAGACAAAATCTTTCCATCCTCACTTCTGAGGAGCACTCTGGCTGTCCTTCTCCCAGCACAGACGTGTTCATTCTTCTGGCAGTCCATGGTATATTCAGTATTCTTCACCAACACCATGATTCATAGGCATCAGTTCTTACATCTGTTATAGCTATTCATTTTTATTGGTTTCTGATTTATTCTTCTGGTGTTTCTTTTTGTAATACAAGGAAATAGATAGATATACACACACAACACACACACACACACATATTCTTATTTCTCTTCCTTTCTTACACAATACGTAGCGTATTATATAAACTTGTTTTTATTATATGAATCTTGCTTTTTAGATTTTTAAAAATTTAATCCTGGAGGTCATTCTGTCATCTTTGTTCCCCCAACTTTTAATTATGAAAAATTTCAAACATATAGAATAGTTGGAAGAATAGTAGAATGAATAACTGTATCCCATGACCTAAATGCATTAATATGATTCATGTGTATATACGTTTAAGGAGCCCAGGTGATGCAGTGATTACAATGCTTAGCAGCTAACTGAAAGGTCCACGCTTCAACCCCACTAGCTGCTCTGCGGGAGAAAGATGGCAGTCTGCTTCTGTAAAGATTTACAGCCTTGCAAACCCTATGGGGCAGTTCTGCCCTTTCGTATAGGGTTGCTATGAGTTGGAATCGACTCAGAGGCGATGGGTTTGGTTTGGGTTTGGGTATATATGCATATGTGTATACATAAAAGATTTATTTTTGCTGAAAAACTGAAAGTAAATTGATAACATGATACTCTACCCCTAATTACTTCAGCATGCATCTTCTAAAAATAAGAACTAGTCCTATATAACTACAATACCACTATCACAACTAAAATAATTAACAATAATTTCCTAATATCTAGTCCATGTTCAAATTTTCCCAGTTGTCCCCAAAATGTCTTACTAATTTTTTGCAAACCAAAATCCTGTCACGATTTGCATATTGCATTTGGCTGTTCATTTTAATATAGAACAGTCATACTTTTTCATTCCCATGATGTCCCTCACGTTTTTTTCCCAGTGAATTTTGATAAATTCATGCTCTTGTGTAACCATTACCCAGATCAAGATATAAAAGATTTCCATCACTACAGTAAAGTCTCTTGTGCTCCTTTCAAGCCCCACCCAGAGGCAAGCACTATTCTGATTTCTATCACTATAGTTTTGTCAGTACTTGAACATCATATTAAACGGAGCCATATGATATGCAGTGTTTTGTGTCTGGCTTCTTTTGCTCAGCATAATGTTTCATCTCTGTTGTTGAGTGTATCAGTAGTTTTTCCTTTATATTGAGGAGTAGTATTCTTTCATATGTATGTACCACAACATGTTTATCTGTGTTTTTGTTTATGATTGTTTGGATTATTTCCAGGTTTTGGTTGTCATGAATAAAGCTACTAGAAACATTCATCCTTGTAAAAATCTTATTATGATATCACCTGTTGAAGAGATCAGGTTAAGATATAAAGCATCCCATGTTCTGGATTTTTAATTTTTTTCCCTTTTGTGGTGGCATTTAATTTGTCCCCAATTCCTATACAATGGAAATTAGAGGTTTTTTCTATAGTTGCCTGTTGAAAGTGTGGCACCCCGTTCTTCTCTCACCCCTCCCCTTGCATTTATTTTATTTTATTTTGTAGTGGTTGCAATCTCACATATTTAATACTGTGGTAACATGAGAGCAAAAAAAAAAAAAAGGTAAACATGAGAGGTTTTGCCCTATCACATAACATTTTCTATAGATGACTGTGTTGCCCAACAGAGCCATATGACTTGAGATTTTGTATTGCTGGGAGGAAAGTGTGATTTTTCTCAGTGAATCTTTGGAAAATGATATGATATGCCAAGCAACTAGTTTTTTTTTTTTTTGTGATTTTTTTTTTTTATTGTTTTTCAGATGAAGGCTTACAGAGCAAATAGTTTCTCATGAAACAGTAGTACACATATTGTTTTATGACATTGGTTAACAACCCCACAACATGTCAACCCTCTCCCTTCTCAACCTTTTTTTTTTTTGGTGAAAATATACATAGCCAAAGATACACCATTTCAAAAATTTCTACATGCACAGTTCAGTGACATTGACTACGCTCTTCCAATTGTGCTGCTATTCTCACTTTAGATGAAGGCTTACAGAACAAAATAGTTTCTCATTTAACAGTACACATGTTGCCCTATGACAATGGTTAACAACCTCAGAGCACATCAACACTATCCTTACTCAGCCTTGGGTTCCCTATCACCAGCTTCCTTGTCCCCTTCTGCCTGCTGGCCCTTGTCTCTGGACTACTATACCTCATTAGTCCCATTTGGTTTTATGGGGCTGTCCACTCCCCGGCTGAACGGTGAACCTTGGAGATGACTTCACCACTGAGCTGCAACTAGTTTTTAAACAGCTGCAAAATAATTATATTTCCCATCATTTACACTTTTAGTATCTGGAAAATTTTATCTGTGAAAATTTTATATATGAAAATGTATATCTGGTGCCTGTATTTTCCACCTTCTTTTTATTAGTCAGTATTTCAATTTGCATGAGATTGGTACGGAAATTGGAGATACTGAGAGTAAAGCTCAATGCCCGGGCAATGAAACTGGACAATTTGCTTTACCTGGTTAGCATCAGTTTTGGGTTAATTATGTGTAATTCCAAGTGTTTCTTCTCTGTCTTCACTTCACCTCATTAAAGCAGTCAAAATATTTGTAGCATTGGTGCAAACAGATCTGAGTCCTTTTTACTCATTACTCATCTGAATATTTGTTTATCTTTTTGATCCTTATCCAGGTTACTGTGGAGTAGTGACTCATACTACAGTGGGTGGTACATTTCCCTGGGATATAGACTTTATAAAACTTTAACT